CTGCAGGATTTTATTCAGGAATTATGCAATATTGTGTGCTTTATGAATCCTAGATAATTGTACAAACTTGGAGGCACGCATGTGTAGTCAAGTATTCATAATACCACGTAGGTTTAAGTATTCAGTGGTAAAAATACTAGCAGTTTGTATCCGTCAAACAGAAAAAATAATGTACCCCATTGACATACTGTGAAGCTTTGGTGGTTGTAATCTTGAATGAAATAATACCATACTGTGTATTTCTTTTATTTGAAATGTTAGACCATATAGACACTAAAAGTGTAACTCTAGACATGAAATAAATTTTGGATAGCAAAATTATGAACAGTTTGTATTGAAAATTGTGTTAAAGTGATAAGACTTTAAAGTACAAAATGTAAACAAATAGGTTTTATAGTTAAATTGAGCATTACAAAATAAAATAATTATCAAATAATTTTTGGGTTTTTAGGTCTTGTAATACTGTACTTAATTACTTAGTATGATGTTTACAATAACAGCCCGGTATATATGACCAGCGACCAATGCACTCTTTTAGCCTAATAATGGTAAAAATATTTTAAGATAAACCACAACCACAAAATGTACTACAAATATAACTACAGTAATTGATGATGATGATGATGACGATGACGATGATGATGATGATGATGATGATATTTAATACCATAAATAAACAACACATTTGTATAAAATGCATTGTTGGTTAATTCAATATACTTGAACTTGCCTAAGTTGAAACCAAAATAGCACTGAAAAATTGTTTGATTAACTTAATAAAATTCGGCTTAAATTTTGTAAATTAATGGAAAACAACAATGTGGCATGTAAAATAAGATCGACTTAGAAATTATGCGAGTTAGGCAAAGTCGGCTTAGGAAAGTTTAATTTGCTCAACAATATAGTACAATGAGTACGTAAGAAAAGAATCATGGAGTAAAGCCTCTATAAGCCTAACAATAATAAATTAACAATTGATGATGATAACGAACGTAACGTAATCACTGTCTTTTTCCTTATGGGCTATTGCCGGACCGCCGGTCTATTGATGGACGAAAGCCCCAGCATGTTAACGCCATATCATTCTGTCTTTATCCGTTTTGCACCAATTCGCTCTTCCCCAATACTTACCAATCTCATCTCCATCTTTTACGTTGTCTTTTGCAATTTATGTTACTGTTGTATTATATTGACTTATATTACTTAGCCTATTTATTTAGTACGTATTAACATCAAGGTAACACAGAGCCTTTTTAAATCTAATTAACAGCAAGTAAAAGGATGAGTTGTTTTTTAGTCGTGGCAGGCCAAGGTATAGTCAGACAGGCCCAGTGGCGTCGAGAACCAGTAAGGGCTCCAGGGCAACACCTCACATCCCCCCCCCCTTCACTTGGGACCCCCACTCGGCCGCTCCCCAAATTAAGTCTCCTCCTAAATCTGACAAAAATTTTCATCCTGGCTTGGGCTCGGACCCTATGGAGATTTTGTTCTTACCCCGAAAATTGTTCATCTTGGTCCGGGCCCCCAGTAGACCCGGGCCCCGGGGCAGCGACCCCCCCACCCCCTCTCGACGCCACTGCAGGCCAAGTACAGACACACAGGTTTCAACGGACTAGATCAAACCAAACGTAAATATCCTACCTTATATAATTATTCTAAAACGCATGAGAACGGCTTAAAATGAGAACAGTTTTTCTGCATCTGAACCCCAAAATAAGGGTTTACCGGTATTCTTTTGACCAATTGCCTCACTTACTTTCACTGGAAATTGCAGACCCCGTTGCTATAATCGACATTCTTTCAGATCCACTGGTACAATTCCATGTCTACCCTTCTTGTGTTCACTTGAGAGCTAAAATACAACTACTTTAAATCGTTTTTCGGATGAGACGTTTAAGTTGTTGGTCTTGTGTGCAATATGGCACGAACTTTTTTTTAAATGTTTCTAATCGGGGGTGGCGCCAGTGGGGCCGGGGGCGCAAGCCCCCCCCCTGTCGGGGAGAAAAAGCACAATTCGTCGGGGAGAAAAAATGTTATATGTATTTTTTGCATATTAGTAGACTCTGAAGCCTTTGAAACCCCTAAATTGTCGAAATTTTCGGGGGCTTCGCTCCCAGGACCATTTTTAATCTAAGCTCGACCACGCCCACTTTGCTTTCGTCGGGGAAATCTGACACTTCGTCGGGGGCACCACCCCCCACCCCGTCGGGCAAATCCTGGCGCCACCACTGTTTCTAATTAGTCTTCTGCATCTATTAAAAATTGGTGTATTCGTTAATGATTACTTACGGTTCCAATCTAACGTTAACTAAACTCACACTATTTTCATGAACACCTTGTTTTTGTCCGATGAAGGAGGCCGAGAGTGTTATGATATGGCTGTTTTTATTGCGATCTGGATAATATACAAACATTCATATTATCAACAACAGCGGCGTATCTAAAGTCTTGAAATAGGGGTGGGGTGGAGGTTGATTGTTACGCGAATGTGAAATGGTGATGGATGGTTGAATCAAGAAGGGGCGCTTGTTTGCAAAAAAAAAAAAAATGGTGATAGGGGATTTTTAACTATTTGAGGATATAGTTTTTTGCTTCAAATATTTCCAGTGAGGGAAAGATCGAGAGAAGCTTTTTTATGCCACTGATCAACAATAATATAAGGGACAAATATTTTGTTTCTCTACACATTGTAATTTACAGTTCTGATACAAATATTTATATCGCCGATATTTCTTTGGCTCTGGATTCATTCTAAATTTGTATTGATTGATATATAACTTTAGTCTTTTTATTAAAGTTTATGAGAGTTCGATGATAAGTGAAGGGGAACTATCTGAATAAGGTGGTATGGGGCATCTTTTTTCTGGGATGCACCCTGGGATATACGCCACTGCATAGCGGACCAATTTGTTTCGAGGGTGAGGGGAGGGTGAGATTTCACTACCATGAATGCATTAATATTGAGTTAATACTAACCTCTAAAATAGTCCTATTGATAAAACCCACGTTTTAATCTTAAACATCTTATTAACATTATATTTATTATTGAAAGTGAATCAACTATGAAATTAAAACAAGTAAATGGGAGGAGCATATACATTTGATTATTATTTTATGCTGGCATTGATAATGCAAAAATATTAATGTTTAACTTATCCGTCAAAGGTTGTAAGAAAGCATCTTTTGAAGATTCCTAAGTCAATAGTTTAATACTAATATAGGCATGTATTTTTGAAATAATTTTAATAAACTTTTTATTAAATTAATTGACTGATATTTGGCAGAATTGTCGGCTACATTGATCGAATTGCTGAATTTCTAACGTTTTGGATACTGTCGCAAAATTTTAAAAGCCGATCAAATGTAGGGTTTTTCTTTGCCAGAGTTGCCCACAATCATTGGTTTTAAATTTAACGTCTTTGCAATTTAACACAATTATGGAAGAGAATAAGACATGAAAACCACAATGGCTTTAATATTCACATTAGTCTACGAAGTTTAAAATTGGAAGGTAAAAGCTGTTTCGCGATGTAAGGTGTGAGTGTGGTTGTGCCTTTTGTAGACCAGGGAGGAAGAAAAAGCCGGGTGAGACCATGGAGAAACGTAGAAAAGCTTTCTTTGGTGAAATAAAATTTGTTTGAATTTTTTCAGGTTGAATACTTATAGTAATCATGACAGAAATACCAGCACAAGCATTTCCAGTGGAGGTGATTCGCTACCAAGTAGAGCCACCTCCATCCTCCTTGAACTCAAAGGGAGCACTTATAACTGGCTTTATGCAGATTGCCCTAGCGGTCGTGTCGTTTATTTTTGGCGTGACCTGTGTTGCACTTGGCTTTTGTACGGGGTATGCCAGTGTACCCATATGGGGTTCACTTTTGGTGCGTATGTTTTTTTGGGTTTTTTTTGTTTTTTTTTTTTTTATTTTGTATCATAGTTAATTATGGGTCAACATTCATCCTTTTTTGAAATGCAACATTCTGAACTCTCAATTGTGATTGGCGGTTGGAATGCACTAGTTCGGGATTTCGAAAATTTTAGATTTTTTAGAATATTTTTGTTATTAAAGGAGGAGGAGGGGGTAAAGTAAAAATAGTAGGCCTACAGTAACATTTCCATTTTCTAGCATCAAAGGATGCCATATTAAGTTCCCACCCCCTCCCAAAAAAGTGGCGTATTAAGGAGGTGTGTGGGGTTCACACACCCTCCCTCTAAATAAACTTGCGACTCTCAGTCGCCCCCCCCCCCATCTAAATTAAAAATGTTCAAAAAAAATCACGTAAAGTAAATAAAAAATCACATTATATTATCTTATTTTGCGAGAGCCTCCACTTCACTTTCACCCTCATCAGCCCCGTCTCCAAGATAAGCCTACTCCACTGTTTGACATAGTGAAGACAGGGGACCTGCGCCGAAAATTTCTTGAGAACCACTCACAGCCTTAAGTAGGCCTAACTGGTTCAATGCAATGTTTCTTAATTATAATCTCTGAGGGCATGATATTCAGTCTTAATATTACTATTGAGGGCAGTAGGTTGGATAATACTCGTTTTCTTATTAGTCATATTTTGAATCGCTTTCTTGTTGTCAAGGAAAACTGCCAAAATTCAGTTCTGGAATATAGCTTCCACTTTTGTTTGCCGTTGAATTGAATTTAGTCGCTGAGATGACATAGGATAAACTTATGGTGTTTTCAAGTTTCCTTTTGTTTTTTGCAGTTCTACGTTGTTGCTGGTATACTTGGAGTGGTTGCAGGAGCCTCAAAGGGAGAAAATAAATGCGCAGTGAGTTACTAATTTAATGAATGTGTTTTATTTTCTTAACATTATACTATAAATACTAAATAGCAGTGGCGGATCCAGGGGAGTTCAAGGGATTCGGATAACAAACTACTACTGGTCATGGCTTACAAAAGACATGCTAACCTACCTAGGCATAGGTTGGCAGATCGGACAAAATAGGCTTAGCCCAACTAGCATTCGATTAAATACAATTTAAAAAACTGTTTTGGCTCGACGTCGAAATAATTTATGTACGAAATTGTGTTCTTCACGGCTATCAGTTCATCGATCTATGGAAGTATCCAACTACTCAATAATGTAGGAATATAGAATACATGCCAAGTTCAGAGATCCCAAGTTTGAAAACCAAAAAATAGGGAGATTTTTTTCATGAAGCGATCGGCTCCTGTAGCGATGCGCTGTGACGCCTTACAACGCGCTGTGCAACATGAAAGTATTACACAAAATGAAAACAAACAATTTTCATCAATTTGTTTACTTTTATTTAACAATTTTACATTTGTTTACACATTGCAGTTGGCCTAAAATATAAATTTATAAATATTATTATTTATTTAGCATTTAGCTAGTAAAGCGTTCTTGGCAGCAGTCAACAAGGCTTTGCTTGGTTCATTGGCATGTTAGAGGCTATGGCTGATTTATTACATCTCATCAAAAAACATAGAAGAACAAAGAACTTCATTGAAGTTGAAGGTAGCTAGAGGCTTGAGATTTAACAGGAAATAAAACCCAATTGACGTGAGTCGAGGGCCCGTCGAAGGGCCCCGACAAATTTTGGGCTTAGATGCTCTCTGGTGCACTCTGAATAGATCTCTAGTGCTGAAATTATACCTTAAAAATGTGTAGCTATAACAGGAACGATAGAATTTTCGATGATCTGGACCTGATAAAATATAGAATTGCGAAGGTTTCTATAATTTCGATAAAAATTTTGGGTTTAATCAAATAAAGGAAAAGCGCGAGATTTTAGATTAGTGGCTTGAGAGAGATTGATGTTTGTTTGAAAAGCGTGAGGTTCACGCGGGATGCTTGAGACTTGGTAGGTATGATATAGTAATAATGTATTGACTATATCTTTGATTTATTTTCTATGGTATATGCCTAAGAATGAGATAAAATCACCTGACCTTTTTTTAAGAGGGGTAAAACCTTGAATTTCGAAGAAATTAAAAGTCATTAAAAGACACCTCAGAAGTCGGGAAAGCTCATTTCAGGCCATCTAGGAATAAAAAATTTCCAGGGGGAGGACCACCCAACCCTCTTTCATTTTTGGGTTTATGGGAAAATGAACCCCTCTTTCACATTATGGATAGTATTTTTAAATTACTAGCTTCAGTTGTTCTTTTTGATGATGAGCAGTTCTTTGTTTGGGCTTGGCTTTGCAGCTGGCAAGAATTTAGTTTTACTTTGCCAAGTAAATATTAATATTAAATAATAAGTTTTGTATTATATTACAGAGGTTTTATTGTTTCGCTGCTACAGATATAGTTTGTTTATTCAAGTCAAAATTCAATTGAATTACTTAAACTACTTTCTCATATTATAATCATAAAGCATTACAGAAAAATCAAATCTTCATTAAATTAAATACATGACTTTATATTTAATATACAGTATAAAATATAACCCATAAATAAAAAATAAAAAAATAGACATTACATACTCAACAATAAACACATTGACATGACATAAAAAAAAATTGTGACTTCTAGGATTAAGAATAATTATTTGAAACAGCCATTAAAAATTATGAATTTAATTTTAACTTTTCTCACTTTAGAATCATATAAATATGACAGAAATTAATCTCCTTAATAAATTAAATTAAACTCCAACACTTTTTCCAAAAGTAATAAAGTAAAATATTAATTTATTGTATTTATTACACATTCAAACATATAACAAAATCGTACAATAGCAATAAAAAAAATTGAAAATTAATAAAATTTACAAAAAAATATCAAAATTGCTAACATTAAAGAATTACATTTACAAAAAAAATCATAGTTGCTGATGATTGAATAATTTATTATTATTATTATTATTATTATTATTGGTATTATTATTACCAGTATTTATATTTAAAAGAAAAATGCATAATTCCAAATAAAGTAACACGAAACAAGATTTTTAAAAAATCAGTGACAAATGCATGCACTAGATATCCACTGTGCTTAGTGGAAATGTCCATTACCAAATCCATTCAACGATTTAAACAGAAGGGTAAAGCCTCTTTTTGTAGGAATGAGAAATGATCCTTCTACACTGTATATTCACCCTTTCTTTTCTTTTAGCATTCATTAAGCAGTGGCGTAACAGCTATGAGCTTTTACTGACATAAACCCCAGGAGCCCAATAACTTAAGGGCCCCGAGACATTCATCAGCATTTCTTTTGTCTAAATCGACCAAGTGGTAAAAACGTCAAAATACACCCTTAAACGTGAAAATTGCTTTCGGGACTTATCCCCGTAAACTACTGCACTCTTCCCAGACCAACCCCCGGGATAGAAGTACGGCACGGAAAAGCATAAACGAGGCCTTACACCGCTATGTTACGACACGTGTCTCATAATTATTAGTACCTACTCTACTATTTTTTTTTAGATTGTGGGTTGCCTGGTGATGTCTATACTTTCGGCTATTATTGCATTCATGCACGTGGTTTGTGGAAGTTTCTATACAAGTATTGTATACTGGGTGGTGAGTTCAGAATATTTGACTAATATGTCATAAAAGATGTTTCATTTAATAACGTATAATACATGACTTTTATTATGAAGAAGCGCATTGAAAGAAAGAGAGCCAAGGAAAACAGGAAAAAAATATGGGAAGAAGGTAAAGATAAGCAATTGAACAAAATGTAGGTGTGGAGAGTAAAAAAAGTTAAAAGGAGAAAAAATAAGACAAGTTTGAATGAGAAAGGAGAGAAAAGGGAAGGAGTAAGGGAGCATAAAAGGGCGTGGACAATTTGAGTCATGAGGACTAAGAAATTGAATGGTGGAAGAAAAAGGGGTATGGAAGGATGAGTGTGTAGAGGGAAAACAAAGAGGATAAAGAGAATAATATAGATTGGAAGAAGGAGAAAGAATGCTGTGCATATGTATGAAGGGACGAAATAGTTTTAAGAATTTAAGCGGTGGAAAAATGAGAAGGCTTATAATAAGGAGAGAGTAAGAAAATACCGTAAGTAATGAACAGTGGCGGTGTTACGGAGGAAAAGGGCACCCCTCCCCTCCCCCACCCAGATATTTTTTTCCCTACCACGATCAAATACCAGCAATGTGCTAATTTTTTCTTATATTTTCCCCCTTAAATTTTTACCTTTCCCCTCACTCCCCCCCCCCCCCCCCCCCCNNNACCACATTTCAGACGCTGGCGCCACCACTGGGAATGAAGAGAACATTCTGGAGGTATGAATAAAGAAAACAAAATGAAAAGTAGGATTCAATATGCATTTAATAACATTGTAACTTTAATTTATACAATTACCATTATTTTATAGGAACTTAAGCCGATGAAAGCGTTGAGTATTCTTAATGTATTAATTGGAGTTTTGGAATTCATAGTCGCTATAGTTGCTTCCGCAATCATGTGTCGTGGTTCATGTTGTCGCCAGGAGCCAGAAGTGAGTAATATCTGAATTCATTTATGTAAATTAACATTTATTTTCTTCATCAAATATAAACAATTACATTAGAAAAGATTCAATGCGGTGGGGTTTGTTTTATTAAGGGGGAAAAGCCAAAAAAGTAAATGATTGTGAGCGGCAAGCCCAATATTGTATGTCTATATTTTATTTACCTTCATTTTATTTTCACTTACAAACTGCAGACATTATAAAAAATTATTAACTTGATGTACCTATGCGGTGGGTTATTCAGGGCGATGAATACGGGTTTGCGTTTATGGGAGGTTAGCAGCCTAGCAACAGTCTCCAAGGGACGAGGCTTGGTTGAAAATTCATCCTGAGGCTTCGTCGTCAGTAGTTGGTTGATGGCGTTGATGATGACGACTACACACAAATATAACAACAATTATCTTGTCTTTTCAATCTATTATGTCCATGATCGAAATCAACTTTTTTCATTTTATGCCCAGCCCGTCTACATCACCGAGCAGCCGGGAAGCAGAGAAATGGGCCAAATCCAGTGATCGATCAAATGTAAGCATTTTCAACTAAAAGTCTCTCTGTATAAGTAGGCCTATTGGTTGTTGGATTGATAATTAGCATATATCTAATCATTAATGTCTTTGTAAATAATTATCATTTAAAGGACGACGATATGGCTGTGATGATGACGACTACGATACTGTTAATAACAATTACCTTATGCAATGTACATAATTTATTTAGGTCCTATTCACTCTTTTCATGCACAGCCTGCCTCACTGAGATCTAAATGAACGAGGAACTTCATCAAATCTGATCCATCATGTGTGAGCATAATGCTTCTTGGATATGAGTGTTAATTACCACTTAAATTATTAATTTCAATTTCAATTTTAATATCAGAAATAAAGTTAATTAATTATAATGTCATTACTAACAATGTTTTAGTACTATACCGTATCAATCCTAGCCTATAGACTAGTTACCAAGGAATTCAGGGGCGTTTATTCAAAGTAAAGGCAGGCACTCTCTACGTCGTACAACGATTGTACGACCGTCGTACGACGAATCTGATTTCGCCGTCGGCGCCGTATGCTGATTGGCGGTGGCATTTTGAACGGATCAACATAAATTGAATAGATGTGCCTCTGCGCATCATTATGCTTGTCCATGACCCAGTAATAAACGACAATATAATATCGTTGATTATAAAATTCGTAATAATAAATCCATTAATTTTTTGTGCTAATAACAACAAGCTAATACGATAGGCCTAATGTAATTATAAACAGAGTGGGAGGGGGAGGTGGTTGAAGAAACCATTTGGCATTTTGGAGGTTGTATTTTATTAGTAAGACTTTATATGGAAGATGGCAAATTGCCCTATAATAATAACCAGGGGAACACTTACACAGTTCCATTGGGATTTTGTTTTCTTCTTATTGTTTTTAGATTTTATAAAGGGGATTTAATCTGTTACAGTTTAGGCATCATTTCTCTAATTTTTTAACTTATACACAAACTATTGTGCATGTTTTTAATTACAGCCAGTAATAAGTGGCATACGACTTAATTGAGTTTATAACTAGTATATTGTAGTTTGGCTTTTTTACAAAAGAATAATTGTTATTCACGAATCATTGTTATTGTACAGTATTTCCTTTTTTTTTTTTTTACAGTGTTTATGTGTTGGTGATTTCAAACATGTCAATGTAACAATAATATTTATAAATACAATAATAATGATGACAATTTTAGTAATGATAAACATGGGGGAAACATTATAGCATTTTATGATGTTGTTTATCAGTTTGTAAAAACGAAAACCTCTGATTAAAAATAACGTTGAAACAAACCGTTGCTAAACAAAGTGTAATTTATTCAGGGCCTCTTTCGTTTTTTTTGTTTTTTTTTTGTTTTTTTTTTTGGTTTTTTTGTTTTAAAAGTAGGTTTCTTTGTTGTTTTTTTTTTGTTTTTTTTTTTGGTTTTTTTGTTTTTTGTTTTTTGTTTTTTATTCGGTTTTGTTTTTACTTACAAAAATTTACAAAACAATACTTTATTTACCAAGCAATGTAATGTTTTTACCTTGCTACATTTGTATATCTTATGTGTTTATGTTCTCATATCTAGCATATCGATCTAAAATAATATTTAGAAATGCATTATGAGTGATGATAACGTGAGGTGGGAAACCATTTTAGCATTTTTGTTTGTAAAATGGCTTTGATAGAAAGCAATATTGAAACCACACAATGTACATTAAACCAATGTAGGCCTACAATTTGGTCAAATGCCCTCTTGATGAAGTTATCACACACCACCGTGGTAAATGATCACCGCTCTTGACGTTAGCACCATTCTCGAATATTTCTCTGTTCTGAATTTGATAATTTATGGTATGCATAGGCTACCGTACCAATGTAGATACAGACCCATAATTTATTATTATTATTATTATTATTATTATTATTATTATTATTATTATTATTATTATTATTATTATTATTTACAAAAGTTCTGATCCATTTGTTCTCTGAAGTATTTTGTGTGTCACTTTTGTATCCGATGGGATACTCTATTGTTTTGTATGACTCTGTGGAATGCTTAATATTTTTGTCATTATATTATGCGAGTAAATTTAACAATTTGAAGACTTGTATTCAGTTGTATTTATTCATTTTTACCTGATGTAGAAGATAATGATCATGATGAAGACGACGACGACGATGATGATGATGATGATCATGATCATGATGATCATGATTATGATGAAAATAATGATGATTGGGAAAGTTATGATAATCTTGATGATGATGGTGTCGATGATGCCGATGACGATGAAGATAATAATGCCGATGACAACATTGACGATGATAGTGGCGATAACGATGATAATGTTGTTGATAATTATTATGAAGATCATGATCATGATAAAGACGATGACGACGTACTGTATTCGTAATTTGCATAACGAATTATTTAACCATGGATTCCACGATGTCATTATTTATATATAATGGCACTCGACCTCAACGGTTATTTATATATAATTGACAGTAAGAAACCATTATTTAGATATAATGACCTTGACTCGATATCACGTGTGCATAATACTCAGTTTGAAGTCCAGGCATTATATACATATAATGGTTTTGCGACAGCTATTTATATATAATGAAATGTAAACTTTGAAGTCAATTCGTTATTTATATATAATGAAATCAGTCAACTTATTATATATAAATAGATGTAAGTTACTTTTCATTATTTATATATAATGAAATCAGTAACCTTATTATATATAAATAATGTTTGGTTACCCTTTCAATATTTATATATAATGAAATCAGTAAACTAATTATATATAAATAATGAAAACGTTAACACAATTATTTACATATAATCTTTTAGACGTAAATGCATTATATATAAATAGTGGTTTATTCAATTACATGTTAAATAATGAATTATATATAAATAATTGTGTTAAATAATAAATTTACACTTGGCGCCTCATAGAAACAGGTCGTGTTGGGGCCGTTAAGGCCATAAAATACTGGATTATAAATATATCTATGATGAAAAATATATATATAGGCCTATACAGTATAAGTACTATATATATATAGATATAATAAAAATATATACTTATATATATATATATACATATATATATATATATATATATATATATATATACAGGGGTCTCGCCAGCTATACTTAAGCGTGGTGGGACCACTACGCTTGGGCAAAATAAACGAACATTGCGCCACGTCGCTCTCAATAATGTTAGCGCCACGGTAAGAAACTATGTGTTAAGTATAATATTTTAAGTATATTTTATTCAAAAAGTTACGACAATAAATATCAAAGTGTCAAACTGCGTTCCAGTGGCGGCAACAGGATTTCCCCGACGGGGCCCCCAAGGTCCCCGATGGGGGAGGGGGGCTGATTTCAACGACAAGAAAAAAGTGGGCGTGGACGGGCGTCGCTAAAAACCTTTCGAAAGTGGTCCAGGGGACATAGCCCCCCCCCCCGAAAATATGACAATTTAAGGGTTTCAAAGGCTTATTTAATCGATTTTAGAGTCTATTAATATGCACAAAATACATATAATTTGTTTGAATTTTCAAATGCTCTTTGTAGATCTCCTGTGCGTGCAAGTAAATATCATGTGAACTCTGGGAGGTCTATGGTCGGCTAGTGGATACGGGTGCGTTCCAGTGCCATAGGGATGGGCAGTGCAGCCGGTGCAAAGCACTGGGGCCCGGGGCTATTAGGGCCCCTTCAAAAATAGGCATAACAAATATAATTTTCAACTTAATTTCTTTAAAAAAAAACGGCCAGCAAGCCCCTCAATATTATTTAGATTTAAAGGTGAAAATTGTTGGTTAGTAATTGAAACAAACAAAATTCGTTACATTTCTCTATTTTCTGTTGTTTGTGTTAAATACAAAAAACGTCACAAAAGCAACGGTTGAGATACAGCTTTTTAAATATTAAAAAAAAAAAAACAACTGAGGGAGATGGAAAACATTGCATTAATAGATTAAATTCAATGTATCGAATAAATGAAATGTAGATTGCGGGACACGGGTCATGATGAGTCGTGTCTGACACCTTAAGTAGTACTAAATGTATCCACCCTTCAAAAGTTTGCGCACTACCCTTTACATTTTGTGGACAAAATTTTCTGAAATTATAATATATATATATATACTGTCTCTTATACACATC